GGCCGCTGTGCCCGGAGCTGTGCCCGCCGGCTACCGTCTGCACGCGTGTGCGGGACACAGCGGGGGGCCTTCGTGCTGGCCCGGGGCGAGTGAATCCCAAGGGCTGCTCTGCACCTCCCGAGCTGGCTCCTTGCACAGCAGTGTCTGAGACGTGCTCGCTCGCCCTGGCCCTCTTAGGCCCTGTCTCTGCACAAGCTGCGGAAAGAGGGAGCTGCGGAAGGTTCTGGGCGAGTGAGTCCCCGGAGGATAGGCGCTCACAAGTGTGAATGGGCCAGGAAGCCGTAAAGGGGAAAGGCTGGCAGGGGAGCGTCCGGACCTGGGTTCAGACTGCTGAGTGCGTGAGAGGACGTGTCCGGACGTCCCGGCAGCGGCTCATATGTGGTGCGTGGGAAGAACAGAGCTCTGGAAGACTCCCGGGTGCTCTGCAGGTCGGAAGGTGGAGGTGAAGGGAAAGAATTGAGGGTACTGTTGGGCCGGGTGGAATGTCTGTGCCTAATTTGTGTGCATGTGGATGGTAATGAAAAGCAGTCGTTGGAATCTGGAGACCTAAGTTCGGATCAGAACTTCGTGGTCATTACTGGCCTCCAGCACTCTCCCCAGTTCTCACTCAGCTGCTTTTGTGTGCCTGCGGGGACCGGGACCAATAACCACGTCCTGCCTGTCGGGAGGCTAGAGACACAAACTGGTAAATGCCCAGGTGCTTTGGGGCAGTAAGGCTCCTGGGCAGGGGCCGTTGGTTTGTGGGTGGTAGAGGGAGCCATTTGCTGGCTGTGCCCTTGATGCAGATAATGGCACTATCTGCGAGGAGCCTGTTTTGGGCTGGTGGTGTGGAAACTAGGTACAGGCCGGGGTGGTTTCCCTAGGTTTTGTGCAGATGCCTTCTGCGGCAGAAGACGAAAACTGGAAAACTGGCTTGATGTTCTCCAAATCACCCAGGGCGCCTTGACTTTCCAGATGAACGGGAGACTTCATCACCACCATTTTGCTTTTACATCTGGGCCAGCAAGTGAAGCAGCAAGGAGCCTGAAAATGGGGTGAGGAAGCTTGCCCTGCCATAGTCACTGCCGGGGTGCGCACAACAGAGTTCTCTTTGGAGGTTCAGGCCAGGATCAGGCCGCTGAGACTCACGTGCAAGAGCACCATGTCAGACAATGCTTGGTGGCTTCTCACTCTTGGTTGTCAGAGAGATTTCTCTACATGCAGTATACGTTTAATGTTTGTGGCAGGAAAGAGCCTGGTTGAGGGACTCTGAAAGCCTAGACTCAGGTTCTGCCAGGGCTCCCGGCCGAATGTGTCCTGAGGGGGCTTAAGGTCCTAGGGCTATGGCTGAGACTGACCAGAGTCACACACAGCCAGCTCCCGACCTGGCCCACCACCCTCTGGAAGAGTTTGTAGAGGAACGGTCATGTTGTCCCAAGCCCACCGTGAGGGGGAGGGGCTAGACCACACTACAACTGAGGGCAGGCCGGGCTGAGGCCAAGTACTTTCAGGGTTGCATGCGCCGAGAGGTGTCAGAGTGACCTTTTTCTGTTGGTTGCTTATATTGTGACACAGTTGTCTGGTCTGTCTGGTTTCTCGTTTTTTTGTCCCGTGGGTTTCTGTTGTTTACTTGTGCTTGCTCTGCCTCTTCCCTCGGGTGCAGACCCCACAGTGAGATCCACAGGTCATTTCTCTTCAGCCATGGAATTCGCCTTGTGGTGGTTGAGTGCACCTGGTTTAGTTTCGTGAACCTTGGCTCAAAGTCAGTAGGAAAGGGACTTTGTACACACACAATGCAGCAATAGGAGGCTGGGGGACTCTGGGTGGTGTGTGAGCAGCACTGGACAGGGAACGCTGGTCGTCTGACAGATAAGATGGTGGCTGTGTCTGTCACTGTCTCCCTTGGCTGTGTCACCAGGCAGGCTATCCAGTTGCACCCTGTGGCTAGTAGATGTCCACCAGCATAGTTTGTGTTGAGTAGCTGGTGTAGAGAGGAGCTGTTCCCTGAGCAGTGACTAGCCCCAGAAGCCGGCCACATGGTGGCACCACTCTGAGCTGTACTAACAGTAGCAGACCTCCCTGTAAAACTTCTCTCATGCTCTCTTCCTATAAATACATTGCAAACAACAGCAGCCTTGCCCCTCTGCCATGCTAACCAGGGTCTGTAACTGTGAACCAAAGCAGACCACTCTTCCTTCAGGCTGCATACGTTGGTGTTGGGTCCAGTGACCAGAGCCCACCGTGGAGGAGGAGTAGCATGTGGGTACTTTAGGGGGTGATGTTGAGGTGGGAGACCTTACAAAGTGGAGAGGAGAGACAGGAGTAAAGAATGGAGCCTTCCAGTGACTCCTCAAGACTGCCAACCTTGCTTCTTGAACCTGACCCTCCTTTGACTCCGTGGGTGCCCAGGGTCGGCAGCTTTATCCCTCAGGACAGCACAACATAGTGCAGATGGTGTGGGGCAGGGGTGCTCCAAGGTGCACGGGTTCACCCCTTGCTGTGGTGAGCTTTCTCAGGTTCCTGAGAAATATCTGCAGACCAGCACCTGCTGCTGGACTCTAGCTGTTGAGATTAAGCTCGGTGTCAGGAAAGGAAGAAGAAACCACTGAGCCCAGGTGTGTGGCGCACACCTGCGCCTCAGCTGGAACTCAGGGACAGAGAGGACCTGAGCAGGGAGGCAGCCCGTGTGGGCAGGTTTCGCCCTGGCTCTGCCCTTCCTCTCCATGTGGATTTTTCTGTCACTGTCTACCCTTCTGGTTTTTATCAATTGCATTTTTAAAACATCTGTGCAGGTCATTTACTAACAGAGCCTCATATGTTTAAAAGGCTCAGCAGTGGTCAGAAGTGGGCTGGTGTTGTCTGGTTTATCTGAGGCCTGGAACAGGTTGCAAAATCAGAGATTCCATCACTCTGTTTATTCCTGAAGGTGTATGGAGGCTGGACTAGGAGGCCTTTTGGCAGGTAAAGGTCGGAGCAGAAGTGTTCCTGAAACACTACAGAAATTTCTCCTCAAGTTTCCTTTTGTAACAAACACTGCCCTTTGGACATTTGGAGACCACTGTCTGTTCCCTGATTTAGATTTCTGTTCCTGGCCGCTACTTCAGGGTAGCTTTACATTTGCTTTCTATCTCTACCAAGTAGTGTGGCACCTGGTGAGCAGGAGCATCCAGTTCATGCTCACGTGTGGCTCTGAGGAGGGAGCCACCTTCCTGGGTCCTCAGGAGACTCGGAGAGAGCTCCTCCTCCAGGCCCGGGAACGCTGGGCTCACAGGACCCAGTGCAGTGAGAAGTGTGGGCCCTACTTCCTAAGCAGGAGGAGCCGCCCACCCAGGCGCTGAAATGTGATGTTTCCTGTGCTCTCTCTGAACTTGTTGACCTGCTCCTTATTGTTAACAGCTCATAACATTCCAAGTACAGGAGAATTAAAATTTTGAATTAGTAGCATGGCTTTTACCATTCGTCTTTGTGCCACGCCACTCAACCCCTGCTTCACGGCTGTGCGTGGCCCGCTTCCACTGCTCTCACCAGAGCAGGAGACGCTGAGCAGCACTGAGACCGTGGCTTCCAGGCCCCTCCTGCTGCACAGGCTTCTTCAGCACTGTGTCTGGCAGTGAGCAGGAAAGGAACTGGGAACTGCCCGTGTCCCTCTCCCTTCCCTCTGCCTGCTTTATTTCCCAGGTCGGTGGGGGCCCAGTGCAGGGAGTAACACTAGAAAGGCGGGGCTGCCTAACCTGCCTCTCGGACGCCTGACTCGCTCTTGTGTGTGGGCCGGTTCTGGTTTCCACGTGGAGCACAGCCTCCCAGGATCATGTCGCAGGTGGGTGCCACGTTTCCGGTACTTGCTGGACTCCAGACCCTGAGCTGTACCTGCACAGTGCACAACACCTCTGCTCACACTCGTGTACCCCGCTCCTGGATGAGCTCAAAGATAAAATGACAAAGGATCTCACGATGCCAACAACAGCAATGAACCAAGTACACAGCCCTCTGAGAGTGAGGCCCTGTAAGTCCACACAGTCACCTGCACATGAGGCCACTTTGAGGTCTGGATCAGGCTGAAAAGCAAAACTCGGCCAGGTATGATGCCACACGCCTAGCACTCTGGAAGGCTGAGGCAGGAGGATGCAAGTGCAGGCCCAGCCTGGGTTACTTAGCCTCGTACTTAAGGAGAACCTTTCTCAAAAAAAAATTTGTAGAGCATGGAATGTACCTTAGTGCAAAGACTCTGAGTCCAATCCCCAGTCATCCCCACAAAAAAAGCCAGGCCAGGCCAAGCCAAACTCCGTGGAGTTCAAGCACACTCCTGCTCAAGGGTGCTTCGGGCTCCTGGCCTTACCAGCTCTGTAGCAAAGGTAAGCAGATCAGCGGGGAGGAGGGTGAGATGGCTTAGTTGCCAAATAAACGCTTTTCTCTGCACAGAAGAGCTGCACAGGAAGGGGATTGAGAGCCTGCCCGCCCGGCCTTCCAAAAGAGAGGCTCTTCCGCATGGGGAGAGAAGATGAGGCCGGAAGTCAGGAAGGAGGATGGGGAGAGAAGGGGGACAGCAGGCTGACGGGAAACACTTTCCAGCAGCATGGAAGAGGTAGCCAAGGGCTTTGAACTTGGCAGGAGACCAAAGTTCGAAGCTAGTACTAGGGAGCAGGCGGGCGCACAGCAGGCTGGGCAGAAGCCCTCCACTCTCGTGTGGGAGAGGCAACTGCATCAGAAAATTCAGCAGGGACAGCCACACTGACACTGGCTTCCTTACTGAGTCATCCTACCCTCTACCTTGGTTTTAATTTGTGTAAAAACTGCTAGTTTGAAGTTGCTATTTCCATCATTAGATTGGGTAGCTGACTGGCTGATACAGGTTCTGCCCCAGCCTGCGAACTACTTTCTTATGACCTGCAGGCTGAAAGCGACTTTTATATATTTCAAGAATTAGAACAGATGGGAGGAAACAAAGAGCATGCAGTAGAGAAGTGGCCCACAAACCCCAAAATATGTGCCAATGAGTCCTTGGCAGAAAAGGCTCCGGATGTCAGCATCTGAGGTCCCAGCTTCAGCCCAGTTTAATTCCCAGGGACTGCAGCCTAGGAGTTGGTTTTCTTCATTCCTCCATAGCCTGGTGTCCACCAAGTGCTGAGAGGCCCTGCCCGGAAGCAGCAGCCCCCAGCAGGATGGACCTCCCTCAGCTGGTCAGGATCGAATTCTGTGTGGCTCCAAAAGCCAGATTGGGCCCAGCAGTCTGCATCCAGGTGGACTTTGACAGAGGTGCACTGGGGTCTCGGGGCTCTGCTCGCAGGCATGGCCTTTGATGCTCAGACTGCTCTACAGGCGGAGAGAGCAGGAAGAAGGGCAGAGCTGAGGGTCATGGGCACCTTCCTGCAGCCCTGGGGTGAGACCACTAGAATCTGAGAGCAGAGCCATCCCCAGCACAATGAATACCCCTACCCAGAAGACCATTTCTAATAATTTTAGGGTTGGGCTTTGTTTGGCTATTACATGTATCATTCAGAACATCAACTTACTGAAAATATCTAGTGGGTAAATGTGGGAGTTTAAACACAATTTTGAAGTACATTGAAATAATTTAAACAAGCATTATACACGCCTGTGAAGTAGGTGCGCTTGACTGTTCAGTTTCATCCTATAGCTGACTAGGGGGGTTCTCCTCCTCCCCACCTAGGAAGGACAGAGTCCACAGGGTACTTAGCCCCAGTGTCCTGCCCTCCAATGATGCAGCTTGCCTGGCATTTGTGTGAATGGAATGGAAATTGTGAACTGCTAACAGCTCACCATGTGCCAGGTGCATTTCCTTCGGTTTTAACGTGAATCATCTCCTATAATCGTCCCAGTCCTGCAACTTCAGTGTTATTGTCCCATTTTATAGTTGTGAATGTTGAGGCACAGAGAAGTTTAAAAATATCTTCCAATTCCATAACTGATGAATGGGAGGACCAAGATTCAAATCCAGAGGACCCTGGCTCAAAACCAGTGTGGGGAGGGAGGGAAAGTTTTCCCGTGACCTTCATGGCCTCACATCGCAGTACATCTAACCTCATTGGGCGTAGCA